GGGAGGGAGGGAGGGAGGGAGGGAGGGAGGGAAGGAAACTAATAAAAACCCACTCTTATCAAATTGAGATCCTACACATTATAGTATTTATTACAGGATACTAAATTTCTCATCATTTAAAAAAAAAGCAAAAAACATCATTTGTAACAAGAGAGATGAAACAATTCCAGGGAAAAAGAAATTTCTACAGTTACCACAGCAAACACTATGAAATGTAAGATAAGTCCAATGTGTCTTTAGAAGCCACTGACTAAAACCCCAAAAGGAAACAATGGCACAAAATTTGTGACAGCATTTATTCAAAATGAAATTGGAGTGCCACTTAGTAGTCTAAAACTTTCTAACCCAGTTTGTACAAGTGAGCATGGAGGAAGTTCCTGTAATTACCTGGTTTGCTCTTCTGGACAAGAGCTTCAATAGAGCTAACTGAATGTTAGCTTCCAACCAAAATCAACAAAAAGCCACTACTACAGACTTTGGTTATCAGCCATTATTTACTCTGGATCAAACATGTGACAAATTTTTAAGGAGGAGTTGGAAAATAGCTTTCCATTAATCATTAAGAGTGGTACAGACATCAAACAGATTTTTGCTTCCATCCTAAATACAATTTCCTACCAAGTATAACAGAATTTTGCATTCAGGTTGAGTTTTTTTATGCTATTAAACAGCACTTTTCTTTCTCTCCACACCTATGCCTAGTTCACTATTTCTGTTTGCCTCATCTGCACTTAGTAGATCATGCTTCCGTGACTAAGAAGTCCCAGTCACAAAAACTCAAACCAAGAGTCTGAACTGAGAAAATAGAGTGGACAAATATCAAACAATTAAACTATGCTTGGAAGAGAAAACCGTTTTTATCTCCTATAACTTTGTATTGAATTATTTTAATCCAGAATTTTAATCCCACTTTAAGAAGAAAAAAGAATCATCCACTTCTCTTTAAGTATGTTTTAAAACATTATAATTCTCTATTAAAATCATCTTCCAATTTTACCTGTAACAAAGGCACAAAGCCAATAAAACCAATCCATAGGTTAACAGTGGATATTTCAGATACAGTTATAGTCCTGTGCTCTGAAATATGTCATTATTAAAGAGTTACTGAAATTGTTACAGGCCGTCCTGAGTTATAAGCCAACTAGGGAAGGGGAACGACCAGCAGTAAGCTTGGAGTAAAGCTTGACTTGCCAGGGGAAACCATACTCTGCAGCTATGGAGCCATGTCTTCTTTTCCGTTCCTTCCATCTTATGACTAAAAGAATGATTTGGAAAGTTTTCTTTAAAATTTCAAAGTCACCAAATCACTTGAAAAGTTGTTATTACCCTAGCTAGCATTTGCATATATATATATATATATATATATATATATATATATATATATATATATAAAAATTTTATAGTTAAAATAAGAAATCCCATGCCTGTCACACCAACACTTGGGAGATGAAGTAGGAGAAAGAATAATTTAAGGCCAGATGTAGCTACAAGGCAAGATGGTATACATGATACTGTGCTCTAAAAAAAGGGGGGTGGATGGATATTAGAAACTTTAGAGAATTATCTACATTAGAGAACTAAATAACAAATGATACAAAAGAATAATGCCTGTATTACTGACCAAATGTCTAAAGCTCCACTAAAAAGAGAAGCCAGGAGTTAGTAATATGGAGCTGGCTCAGAAGTTGAGGTGGCTGAATCACAGAGGACTTGGATTTGGTTCCCAGCAGTCACATAATAACTTACAACCACCTGAGTCTTCAATTCCAGCTCCTGGGTATCAATACTGACTTTGGGCCTGACTCTGCTGGCACTGCATGCAAATGCTGCATGTATATACATGCAAGCAAACACTCATATACATAAAATTAAAATAAATCTTCTCTTTTAAAGGTGAACCAGAAAATTGGTAACTTTTTCTTCTTCATTCTGATAAACTGTCATCAAATCATTAAATGTTTTATAACCTACCTTTGTAGAATGCCATTTTCCTGGGGTATTACACCATTGATAGCTGCCTGCAATGAAAAAACAAAAACAAAGAGAATTTAACAAAATAGGTAACAACTAGTGGAATGAATAATACCATAAAAGGATGTAAATATACCTTGAAATATTTATTTAAACAAAATACTAAACATTACCTTAATAATAAAGCATCTTCTGTTAAGTGCTTCTACTTTACTATAATAAAATACAGTACTGGGGAGGAGGGTGGAAACTATGTCAAATAACAATGGCCCCACATAGACCAGACTCTCCAAGAAGTATAGACCTTGAGTAAACTCAACTTGAAATTGACAAACTGAAACTATGTTCTTCTAACAAAACTACTCAAAAATAATTTTTTAAGTCAATTGTTGGACCGATTGTTCACTGGCTTCCCTAATAGCCTGGTTCTTCAAGTGTTCTTTTAAATACCTGAGCTTCTCTTCATACTTCTGATAACTTCTGCTTGCTACCTCTACTCCCGCACATCTACTTTTTATTCACATGATTTGAGTATAATCTGATATTTTAAAAGTTGAGTTGCCAGACTGATTATATATAAATGCGACTAAATACTAAAACTAATATATTTCAAGTATGCAATTTGTACACAAATAAAAAAGGATTTCAAACATCATTTGAAAATAAAAATGATAAATGCATTTCTATGAAACAATATATAAGCAGATCAAATTAATAGTATAACTAACTCTTGAAAATTCCATGTTTGGAAAACTTGTAAAGGAGAGGAATAATTATCACAATATTAGCATTGTTTCATCAACTATCCACTTTTTTCCATCTGTGGAAAATACTGGTGAGTACAGAAATCATTACATTTTTGTTCAAGTTGTTTCTACACAGTATGTCACAATTAAACTATTTTCAAACTACTTAGGTAACAGATACTTAACCCATGGGACACTAGTATTTTAGCATTCACAATTCTCATCTTGCCATCATGCTTATTCTTCCAACACAACCAAAATGTTCTTTCTTTCTTTCATTTATACTGATCACTTACAATCTAGCATCAATCTAGCCAACTTTTTTTAGTTATTAACCTAAAACTGTCTGGGCACTGACATCACAGTTTTGAACAAGGTAGAATCATATTCTTCTGGTAGATAAATTATGTCCTAAGAAGAATGGTATTCTTATGAGAATCTTATTCCCATACTAGCATTATCACTTATAATCAATGAGAGCTTCTGAAGAAATCCATCATGCCATATACTTGGTCTCTGCACACAGCAGCCAGCATGTTCACAAATGCTGAGTAAAGTAAAACCTTTTTCTTTCTCAAAATAACATAATACATTGCTGTATCTATGAGTCATTCACTTTAAAGTATTTGGGGAAAAACAGCAATCCTACTTTAGATAATAACCAAAGGAGCTGAAAGCAATCTGAAAGAGATATATGCACATGCATGTTCAATCACACTATTCACAGCAGCAAAAAGCAAAGTGACAAAAATTCTCATCAGTGAATGAGTCAACAAATGCAATATAGTAGGCACATACAGTAAGTAAAATACTATTTGCCCTTAAAAAAAGAACAAAAGTCGGTACTGTTATAACATGTACAGACTGTGAAAACATTACACCAAGTGAAATAATCACAGACACAAGACAAATATTGTATGTATACACAACTCAACGTACCTAACAAAAACAGTAGAATTCATAGACAAATAGAATGGAACTTTGGGAAAGAAAAGGAAGGCTTGTTGCTAAACAAGTATACAATTCTAGTGTGGGAAGGGAAAAAGCATCTGGAGATCTGTTTCACATCAGTTAAAAACACCCATATTCTAATAGGCAAATCTTCAAAACTTGGTTCTATAACATAACATTTATGTATGTGTGTTGTTATATAAATTAACACACACATATCATCTTGTGCACAGCCACATGAGGTCTGTTCCGTTCACAGTTCCTGCCTCCTTTGCCTCTCAGGATCTGCTGGTCATGATAGCAGGCCTATCACACTGCTACAGGTGGGTAGGCAGGGCCAGAACAGCATCTTACTATATGACTAGTTATTGGTGATGTTTTAGTATCACTTACAAAAATGTACATATTCAAGCTGTACAAGTAATGACTTGACATACACATATATTATATAACGATTATTACAATTGAATACATCATTACTACAGAGAGTTGCCATATGTGTGCTAGCACATGTGTGCATTCAGGTGTATATGCTTCTCAAAAAATACAGAAACATCTCTATGTGCATAGGGTAGACAGATATTTCATTCATAACTCAATCTAATCAACTAAACTACATTAAGATTAATTATTTTGATTTATTAAAGATCTCCACTGAAGGCTGGAGAGAGAGATGGCTCAGTGGTTAAGAGCACTTGGCTGTTCTGCCAGAAAACTTGAGTTCAATTCCCACTACCCACATGGCAGCTCACACCTGTCCAGTTCCAGAGCTTCTGACATCCTCACACAAACATACATGCATGCAAAACACCAATGAACATGAAATTTCTAAGATTAACTAATTTTTTAAAAAGATCCAACTGCCCCTCCCAGTGTCTCTCCATCCAGAGCAGCAGCAGCTAAGGAAGATCAATTCCCCCTCCCCACTTTGCAGAGTACAACTCTGTCTGCTCTAGACAGGGCAGAACCCTGCAGATATCCACAGATAGCATCCAGTACACAGATGGACAGAAGTGTTGCTATGAGAACCTATATTCTCAAATCGATGTGCATAACAGAACCAGACCACAAAAATGGCTTATGTTTAGTTAAGAACACACAAAAGGAGAAAGTACTATTCTTATTTGTTCCAAGAGATCTCAGTTTTGTTAGCTACTATGAATTACTAACAAATGTACTGGCTGATAACTGTAAGTTGATTCTATCCCTAACTACGTATTGGGCTTAACCTCAAACCTGCTAGCACTCATCTGCTGCCTTCCTCTACCTTCCTCTACACTTGTACTGGAGGAAAGCAGGTATGCCTGCCAGAATAAATAAGAAACAGACTGCTGCTCGGGATTAAAGCTTTCAAAAGCTTTCAAAGACAACATCCCTTCCAAAAAGTACATTTGTCTTCCAGAGCAGTCTGTGCCACTGTGAGGAAACATCAATAAACTAAAAAACTACCCACATGCCTTCTCATTTTTCCTATTCCACTTGTTCCTTCTAATTCTGGGCAGCTCTAGTGCATCCTGTTACTGAGCTGCCAACTGCCTAACTAAAAGCCAGCATTTCAGTTGTTTAAACCTCAAGAATGAAGCCGCTTTTGCTAAAATAATGAAGTGCTGCCCAGAAACAAAAGACATCATTAGTAACTAGAAAGTAATCAGAAGGTTACAAAATGAAGAATGGTGGCATAGTTAGCATACTGGATGTTCCCACATGTTAAAGGCTTAGTCCCAAGCAGCTGCTATTTGGAAGTAGTAAAATCATTAAGATCTAAACTTGGCTAGGATGGCATAAGGTCATGGAGGGTACACCCCTTAGGAGTGTGTCCCAACTATGTTCTCTTTCTCTCTTGTTCCATAACTAATGGTCTTCTACCAAGTGTTTTAACCAGTTATGAGGCACTGCTCACTGAAAGTCCAAAACAAAAAAGACCAATTGATCATTAACTGAAACCTCCAACACTGAACCAAAGCCAGTCCTGAAGCTAACTAGGGGTCACCTCCTATCTTCATGACTGAGGAAATGTCAAGGATTTTAGGAGTTCTGTTTCACAGTAAATCAAGGATCAAAAACAGGCAGTATTTTGTCAAAGTGAAACCCCTGTTGCATCACTACCAATGTGTCATTTATCTTTTCAAAAACCTATATATCCAATCACAAAATCAATCTTTCTTTTAAAAAATGAATAAAGAGCCAAAAAAAAACAGTAATATTTTAGTAAGTGATGATCATGAAGGCCCAGAAAGATGCAGTGACTTGCCTGAAGACCACAGCAAATAAACAGCTATGCCAAAACTAGAAATCCAGTCACCTAACTGCCAACCCAATTCCAAGAAGAAGTAAAACAAACATAATCATCATAACTTCTTTTTTTGGTTTAGTCTTTCTTATGTATTGCAATGCTAAATACTGGCCCCCAAGGTCTGGTTGCACCCAGGGAAAAGAGAATCTGCACATACATAAGTAGTACTATGTAACCTTGCTCCCACTTTATCACTGATTGGTGAATAAAGATGCTTACAGCCTAAGCTGGGAAGAAAGATAGGAGGAGTTTGGGTTTTGGGGCTTGAGGTTGGAGGCAGGGCCACAAATGGGGAGCAGCAGGAGGAGGAGCAAGAGGAGGAAGAGCAGCAGCAGCAGGAAGAGCAGAAGGAGGAAGAGCAGCAGCAACAGGAAGAACAGGAGGAGGAGAGAGAAAGGAGAAAAAGACATAGAATCCCAGCACTTGGGAGGCAGAGGCAGGCGGATTTCTGAGTTCAAAGCCAGCCTGGTCTACAGAGTGAGTTCAAGGACAGCCAGGGCTACACAGAGAAACCCTGTCTCGATAAACTAAACAAAACAAAAAGAATAAGAGATAGTAAGATCTGGCCATGAGGGCTGGCCAGTTAGAGGAGAAAGAAAGGAGAAAAGGACACCATAGAGTAAGGGATAGTAAGAACTGGCCATAGGGGCTGGTAGTCAGAGTAAGAGTGGCCCACAGGAAATATGGCAAGTCATAACTGTAGGTTATTGATAGGGAGGTAAAAACTAAAGGCTTAGAAGTAGATATCTGTCCAGCTCTAGTGCTGATTAAGGCTTATTATAAATAAAAAAGTTGTGTGACTTTTATTTGGGAACTGAATGATCAAAGGCAGGGTAGAAACTACCAATTGAGACTAACAATTTACTACAACACCTCTATGGGATAAAAAAAAAAAACTGATTCCATGGCAAAAAGCATGAAAACAGCAAGCAAGTTTTGAACTTGGTTCTGTAACAGAAGTGTGTGACCTTTAAATTATCCAGGAAAGGTCTTAGGAAAGTTTCTACTTTGGAGTCCTAAAAGAAACTGCTCACCTAAAGGTCACCAGAAAGGAAAG